GAGGAGCACCAGTCAAACTCACATGACAACAGTATCAAACCCGACTAGCTCCTCACTATGTTCTTTTAAGTAAACAAGAAAGTGGAACTCCAGAGAGAGACTTTCATTACATCACAGTAACCCTGCACTTGCAGGTCTCCTGACTACCTCGTGGTAAGATTTATCCAAACTAATAAGAGACTAGCGATTTGGTTAAGATTTGAAAACGGCTACATATGCAGAATCTAGAGCAGCAAGTGGCACTCAGTCAGGGTCAAAGGGTTGGTGGCTCTCCTCAGGCCAAACAAAAATCAAAGCATAAGACAACTGAAATTTTGAGAGTGCCAAGTAGACACGCTAGCAGTACAAGCTCACATGCCTACACATTGGGGGTTTACACACTAAACTCAACTATGTTATATTTAAAACCAGGAAGGGTTTATTGGCAGGAAAGTTTTAAAGCATTTTTAAAGTAGGACTATCACATGGTGCAAACACAGAATTCGAGAGTAAAAAATTAAGACCATCTAAGGCGCTACGGTATTTTTGGACAGAAGATGTTGTTAACGATGTTTGGCCTAGTAATAAAATACTTTGGGCAACATACTTAGTGTGTGAAAGAAAATGTTTATCAGGGACTACCTTCTTTGCCTGTTTGGGATCACGAAATCTGACACGTCGAAGAAAATTAATCAACAAAAGTGGGTCCTCTCAATGACAGAGATAGCTTGGAAGGAGCTACTGGAAGCAGCGCGTCGCAAAGATGAATTAGTTGCTCCCTGCACAGGCAATTGCAGGTTCAGTGTCTCAAAATGGATGCTTCATCTGTACAGTTGGAGAGCACTTGCTGTCAATCACAGTGAAGGAAGTTGATAAAGCACGACGAGTTCGACTTGAGGGAACAATTGGAAATTGGCAGTAAGAACAACGAATTCCTGGCTCAAGTCAAGTAGCCAGACCCGAGACTTTTGTCACCGACTCAAGTTGACGCTCTGGCAGGTCATGGAGGACAATGGTGGTGGATCCCACAACACACAAGACACATCAGAGAATGCCAAATATGTGCATGCCATTACATGTGCAAGTAGAGCGCTCTGTAGTACTCCCTCCGTAAAGAAATATAAAAGCGTTTAGAACACTAAAGTAGTGATTTAAACGCTCTTATATTTCTTTACAGAGGTAGTACAAAAAAAAAGACTCCAACTTATAATGATGAAATTGGGTAGGGCGAGCTGGTGGGGTGGGTCGCGGAAGAAGCGAGGGCTGGGGCGTGGGTCCTTGTACGCCGACGAAGCAGGCAGAGGGGATCTCCGGTGTTGGGTCGGCGCCGTCCTCGAGCAGGACAAGGCCGTCGACCCTACAGGCAGCGGCTGCTCCCGGATCCTACGGGAGGAGGGGCTTCGCGCTGCCCTGCTACCGGATCCGGCCGGCACTCAATCCGTCGGCGGGATGGGAATGGGGCGGCGCGGCGGTGGGTAGGGTTTCCAGGTTCGGTCTGGACTGGTCTTGGATGGGATAGCGGCTTATTAACGAGAGAGAGTTGGTTGGATTCGATTCAATTCGATTGATTACTTTCGCAGGAAACGAAGAGGCCTCTCCTCTCCTCTCCCCTCCCCTCCTCATTGGTCAAAACTAGTCTCCCACGGATCACCCTACCAGCACGATCCCAGCCGTAAAAAGTTTCTGGATCCAACCACACAAAATTCACGTCACACGGATCACTCCTAGTAAAGGGTCTTTTGCTCTTGATAGCGAGAGATGTGGATTCGATCTGATTGATTGGACCCCTTTCCTCGCAACCAAGTGGAACCCAAAAGACTTCTCGTCATCATCATTGGTCAAATTCTCATACTCCCACGGATCACCCAATCCATCAGCATAAATAATTTCAGCCGTCACTCGTTTTTTATCCAACGACACATACGCCACATCGCACACGGATCAATCCATCCCTTCCTGTTAAAAATAGGTCTTCCATTCTTTCTTAATAGTCGAGGGACATGGATTTGGTCTAGAAATTGTTTTTTTTTAACTACAACCACTATATCTTCTTCTCCCGCAAAAAAAAACACACTATCTTTTTAGCCATGACGGACCCACTCATCACTGGCTTATAAATTATTTTTTTACTTTCTCCGCTCTACCAAAATTTCAATCATGAGCCCTACGAGGCCCGGTCTCTTGCATGCGGTTCCGGTGGACCTACCACCGCCACCATCCTAAAGCTCTCGGCCGCCACATGAGCGTGACAGATACATGTTGTGAGAAATTGGTCAGGAAATTTTCAAGTTGGAAACAAATGGCGCTAAAAAAATGGTGACTGCGAGTTTAGGTTCAATGCTTGGTCTTGATTATTTTTCTGACAGGTTCGATGTGATGTGAAACGTTCGTGCATGTGTGTGGAGAAAGAAGAATGGAAATCCTAAAACGAATGGAAAAAAAACGAGACACGAACGAAGAAAGAGAGCAAGAAATGAAAGGGTTACATAACAAAGAATGAACTTAATTTTGGTCCAATGACTGAAAGCTGAGCTCTTAGTACTTACTAGCTACCACCTTGTGTTTTTCTTTTATTCTCTGTATATGTAGCATTGATATGTAGTAATACTTCGTTGGGTTCTTCTCCAGTTTTTTTCTGTTCTTATTTTGTTTTCATTTTCACATTTTACTTTTTTCACGAACTTTTGTATTCAAATTCGTGATTTTTTTCGAAAATCACCAACAATTTTCAAATTTGCAAGCATTTGTTCAATTTTATTAACATTTTCCACATCCCCGAACTTCTTTCAGATTCATGACCGTTTTCCAAATTTGTGAACTTTTTTAAAATCTATGAACATTTTTAAAATACACAAAAAATTCAGATCCGTGATTTTTTTTTTGAATTCATGATTATTTTAGATTGGGATCGTACAAGGTCAGCAGTACCCCTGTGAATACTCCGCCAGTATGAAAAGTTCTGAATGTTACTTGAGTCCCTGGCTCCCCAATTGATTGACCCACAATAATAGACATAGATTATTATACGCCAAGTAACATCAACAGTGCGGGTTCCCGAAGATGGAATGTCTTATGTTTTTTCGCCTGGGAAATTAATCGGACTATTGAGCGGAACGAGCAGGGCAAGCTTTGGATGAATCGATCTATTATCAGGCACTCTGTATCTATTCTTCTTTTTTGTATATTAGTGGAATTTCAATGCATTGGGTTCTTTCTCAGATCTAGATGGAATGAAATAGTGAAACAGAATTAAAAAAGCCCTTTCGGATGAAAAATGAAGAATAGAATGTGATATATCTTGCTTGGACAAAGAAATTAAAAGCAATTTAATCTTATCCTCATTTGTTCCTTCCTTTAGATAAAACCCCCTAGATAAATACTTAAAAATATCCTTACAATAACAAATCCAATTCCGAAAGGACTTCCTCCCCGTGTTGAGAACACTTTTTTTCTTCCAATTCTTCACTCTTCCTCCGGACTTTCTATCCGTACTATTAAGAATAGTCAAGTAGTTGAAAAATTTGGATTAAATTGTCAATCGGTCCTATCGAAAGTAGGATTGACTATGGATTCGACCCATCGCACATGGTTTCATAAATTTTGTATGGTTTTCCCAATCTTCCTGAGTTCATTAACATTTTCCAAATTCACGAACTTTTTCAAATCCCTGAATGATTTTACATTCATGATTTTCTTGAGTTTATGACCATTTTCCGAATTCACAAACTTTTTCAAAACTGTGAACGTTATTCAAATCCACATACTGTTTTCCAGTTTGTGAACCATTTTCAAATTCTTGAACCTTTTGCAAATTCACAAACAATTTTGGAATTTATGATTTTTGTAATCGATAGAAAACTAGAAGTCGGCCTTTTCTGAACCGATAGCTTGCTGGTATTTTTATGGGCTTGCCCAACTGAATGATAGAGTTGATGTAAAAAAGGGAATCAAACCAGCCAGCCGCCGAACATGCCAGATCTCTCATTCTACGCCGTGTTTTGTTGCTCACAAAGTCACAGGTTGTATTAAAATGGAAATATAGGCATCAGATATTCATTTCGGCTCAGATGACCCTTATATCTTGACCGTTCGATCTCACTAAGATTCACGCCAGCCTTTGTATTGTACACGACGTATGGCTTGGTTCATGTACCAGACGATTATTTACGGTCACATATTTCACAGGCGTAAATCGCTCCAAAACGACGGCCTAGTAGTATTTTGTTACCAATGAAAAACTGAACATGGAACCTCCCACGTAGAGCAAAATAGCATATCAGGCAAGCAACAAACAGAAATATTCATAATACTACAAAGATAACAGATATGATTACCCTCTTATTTGTGCAGATAACATAAAACACTAGGAACAGGTCATTATAATTCGAAAGCGAAATGATATACTCGCAATAAAAATGTTCAATACTATTATTACATTATCAACATGCAAGCAAGATAGTTTATATAAAGGTAGGTGCCTTGAAAATGCATCACCACATCAATTGTTTTTTGGGCACACGGGTGTAACATGCCAAGCTCTCCTCATATAACATAGGAACACAAGGAATCATCTTAGAGACCATTCGATCCATCTCCGCCGCTGAGTCTTCTTTGGAGCATGTCAAACTGTTCGCTGCTGAAGTTGAAGGCATATCAGGAAACTTTTGGTGTGGACTACTACAACTTCTGACAATCGGCACCTGATCAAGTGAATACAAATTTTGAATTGCTTGCTCTACTGGATCGTACAACCCTATTTTCCTCCCAGTGTTGAGCAGGATCCTCCCATGATCGCGATCAACAGCTAATGGCACCACGACACCTGTCTTAAGGGAGTATTCAGGATATGCTTCCAGGTGAATTGTGAATGCTCTGCCCCATTGGCCATCCTCTAGCTTCCATACATCTAAATTTTCTGCCATTGGGTCTGCTAGAACAGCACATAATAGTCCCTTGAGCTCAACAACAAATGCACGACAGCGGTTTCTGCTATTCCATCTTGCAAACCAAGAAGGGCATGTGACAACATCAAAAATTCTTGTAGCAAGGTTGAAAGAAACAATGTTCCATTCACAGCTCGGTCCCAACCTTGGTTCACTCATCCAGTACAGCATTCCTTCCACATACGCCGGTGGCATGTCATTCACAGGCAGAGGCGGTACCGAGCTCAGTTGGGGGCGATCCCGAGAGTCACACCAGCGTAACGTGCATCTCAGGTCATATTGACGAGATTTGAAGTCCTTCCGGCGATAGAAAATTGCCACCATAACATGTTGTTGAGTCAAAGGGTCGAAAGTCAAGCCAATATTCTTATTGCCGACTGTGAAAGCATGCTCTTCTGCTTTAGGCATTCTCTGCAGCAAACTTGGCCCCAACGAGTAGAACATGTGGTAACCTGTACATGGGTTGCAGAGATAGTCGTACGTCTCGGTGCTTACCAAGTTCAGCCCATGGCAAGGCTTGGAGCAAACCACCTTTGTATCAAGTAATCTACTGTTACTAGGAGCTTCTTGGAGGCATTTATTCAAGGGAGCAAAACTGAAGCCCAATTGTCCAGTGCCCTTGACCACAAGCATGACCTTAAGTCTTTTGTCCATGTTTTTATGCTGAAAGTATGACTGAATGAATTTGTCACTCTCAATCAATCTGAACCACTGCTTGCACACAAATTTGGAGTGTATCACTGCTTTAGCTGGGAGGTGGAGTAGGATCTCTCCAGTCACCTTAGCCAGCTCAGATGACAAGGCTATCTCTTCATCTGTTTTATGCACAGGAGCAAGGGTGTCTTGAATGAAACTAAACCTTGAACTTGGGGGCCCATAATATGGAGTTGAGTGCGTCTCCGTGATTGAAAGAATGGTTTCTAGAGCTTCGGACCTAGGGTCATAGGTGTGAACCATTTTCTGATACTTGTCGAAAATCTTGTGCTTGCTCGTAGTGATGACTATCTTCTTCCTTGGCGACCTGGAAGTGATGCCAAAACACCCAATGACTCTCAGAATTTCTGATTCGCGTAAATCTCTTGCCAGGTGGCTCGACAAATTGATCCGATGACTCAGTAACCAGTCACCCGAGCTATAGTCTGGCAGTTTCCAGATCTCCAAAACGTTAACATAAAGGATTGTGTTGCGAGTATCTCGGACCAAACATAGTTGGTCATCCATCTCCACTAGTTGCTCTTTGGACAACCCATACCTGTTTGGCGGCGCTCCTGGTACCCAGAAGGGCGGGGACCGGAGACATGTGAAGGTCTCTTCTGCCACCGAGAAGGACACGATGGCAACACTTGGAGTCGTGATGAAAGAGGCAGGTCTCATCAACCAGTGAAGGCAACCGTTGGCAAACACAGGAGGTAATTTGTTCAATTCCGCATTTGTAACAGCAGCATATACAAACTGATGCAAGCTGGAGGGTACTCCTCCGGCAGGCGGCCTCCAGCGATCTCCAAAGCGGCCTCCAGGCGTGTAAACTTCACACCTCACCATGTCCTTCTGATAAGACAACCCATTGATCAACCTCACCACTTTGTACTCATCTGTGCGGGCATCAAACCCCAGCCCAGCAGCGGATCTGGATGCTCGTTCCTCAGTGGACGCTGGCAGACGCGTAGCAGCTCGTGTTGCCGCGTTGCAGATGTAGAAAGCTGCGCCGACAGCGTCGTAGAGGAGGGTGAGGCCGTGGCATGGCACGGGGGTCACTACTTCCACACAGTTGCCACGGGCGCCATCGATGGTGAACAGTAGGTCCCCGCGATCTCTGGGGCGGCTAGATGATGATGATGGCGAGAAGGAGCACGAGTAGACCGCGGTGGAGTCGAATGTGGTGGTAGGTGAGATGTATAGCAGCTTGGGTGGTGGTGCCCGCCGCCTTGCATCCTTAGCTGCTGCCATATGGAGGCAGCGGAATTCATCGGAGGAGAGTAGCGCCTCCCAGGAGCGACAAACTGCCCGGAAGCGGAAGATAGATTTGACGGGGAGCCACTGCAGCACCTCTATGATCATCTCATACGGAATCGACGCCCCGCAACCATCTCGTGCATTGGCCATGTGAATTCTCCTCCTCTTCTTGACCTCCCTAGGCGTGATATCCTCTGCCCTGCTGCTATGCATCTTCAACGCCCAGTCGAGGTCTGAGATGCAACCAACACATGAAAAATCACAAAGGAAACCGACTGCTATAAGTAACGAGTACTCCATTAGAAACTGACTTCTATTAGTAATAAAAGAAGAAAGGACAACACAACGAGATCTGGTTGATCGTCGACTACAAAAAGATGAAAAGAAACGGGAAGACGGAAAAAATACTTACCAATAGGAGGGATCGAATCACGTCCAGCGGTCTCAGAGTTCCTTCAGTCCGAAAAACGATGATGCAATACAGATAAAACTATACACTATACTCATCAAGGAAAACAGAACAAAGCCATGAAAAACATTATGTGAAGATTAGCATACTAGAAGCATGAAACAATAATATTTGAGGTAGCTCTGAAACAACAACGTACTACTACATAGCAACAAACTAGCAAGAGAGCACAAAAGATAGTCGCTGTAGCTCTCCAGCACAATGTAAATTAGTTGACACAGCAATCAAATTCAGAGCTGTGTACAAATCTGAAGTTGTGCAGCGCGCTACATAGATACATCCCTTAAATATCAAAATTCCTTTTGCACAGCGACCATTGAAAACTGAAGCTTCTTATCACAGTAATCATGGCTGATGCACTCTAATCCTTTCAACGAGTAATGACTTGGTCTTTTTTAGATTGCGAACATTACAATCTAGTAATTAGTTAAGGTCAACGATCCAAGCCATCACAGTTCTGGACTAGCTCTCCAAAACACCCATAATATCTCCTCCGTTACTGGTACCGTGAACTCTGCTGGGGATTTGACACCTACGCTGAAAATTTTGTACCTGTCTTGTTTTCCCCCTTAAACCAATCCAATCAGGATCCCTTCTGCAGCTTCGGTTGATGTTCGTCCAAGCTAGACTCGGCAACGGAGGTGTTGGACAGGGGAGAGAGAGGCGGAGAAGGGAACCGGGCGGGGAGGGAGGTACCTCTGAACGTCAACGGCGACGAGGGGCGGATCTCGATGGAGAGAGGCGGGCTGGAAGGCAAGTGCGCCGGCGGATCAAGACTGCACGGCGGGCACGAGTGCAAGAGGAGGCGGCGCCGGCAAAGATCCCTCTTTTCTTTTTTCTTTTTTTAGAATCCAGATCCCTTTTTCTCGAGAGGAACTTGGTTTATGTAGGGCTTTCTATGGCCAGTTCTTTTTGCCGATTCTCTCGTAATCCAACCTCTACCCAGCTTCGAGTCTCATTTGTTTTACAATTCTATCTAAAATTCTGACAAAAGAACTGGGCCCGATCGTGTTATTAGGCTAATTGGGCTTCATAGGGCTTTCTAGATCGTATTATTTTTCTTCCATAAATAAACTGATTTATTGTGTTCATAAATAATCTGATTTATAATTAGTATTAACTGTGTGGAATTTGGAGATATTTATTTATTCAATTCAATTCAACAAAAGCGCATCTGAAACAATCAGTCATTATTAGATCGCTAAGGTTAGTTATAGTGGGAGTAACTTAGATAGTAACATAACACCTCCTAAGATAAATTTGCTTATGTGGCATAGAGTTAATGAGGAGAGAGATACTTGTGGTAACTGGTAAGGTTATTGATAGTGGGGAGTATCATACACTAGTATCATGCATATGATATTGGTTTATAATACTATCTTCGTAGTGCATGCTATCATAAATTATTGTCATAAATCATCTTATTTATTGTCATGCATGACACCTAGTAGCATAACATTTATTATGATACGGTATCTAGCTACGTTACTTTAACCCTTCCTCTCTTCTTTAATTGCCTACCACATAAGCATGTTTGCTAGTCTCAAATGCATGATACCGGTTATGTTACCCCCACTATGATCAGCCTAACATAATATGTTACTGTAACATAGCACACCCCGAGGTAAAATGAGTATATATCTCAATTAGTGAAGACTTGCTGTTACCATCTATATTTTTCTCTCGAATATGCACACTCTTATATATTAAAGAAGAAAGGCAAAAGAGTGCCTCCACCATAGTTTTACAAGGGTTTCGTTACAACTTACTCCTCACTACTCGCCCACCTATGTAAACTACAGAAGAAAGGGTCAACATTCCCTTTAAACTTGCCGGCTCCGAACCAAACCATGCCTTCGGACCTCACCCTACTTAGGAGCACACTCATCGAAGGAGTTGCTCCATCAAACACAATAGCATTGCGATGCTTCCACAGTTCCCAAAGTGTTAGAATGAAGATTGTACGTAGATCCTTCCTCCGCAGGTTGTTCGGCCCTTGCTTCTCCCGTAGCCATAGGCCAAGGGAGGTTACCATCTATATGTTACTACCCATTATGATGATAGTAACATAGACTAGTAACATATGCACGTTACTAGTCTAAGTTACTCCTTATGATCAGTCTAAGGCTATGTTCGGTTACTAGATATTTGACCCCCTATAGGATCCATAGGATCCAATCCACGAGGGTGTTGTGTTGACCCCACACCGTCACGCCTTCCATACAGCAACAACGTGATTAATTCCACTCATACAGAGGAGAGGTTATTTTCCCCGTCAAAACTGCAAGGTTGCGAGGGGCTTTGACAGGGTTTCTATCCCCGCATGGTATAAACGAATGCACTATATGAAGCAATCGAGGATATATACCCGACCGATCCACGAAGTTTTGACTCCAATCTCGGCGGGGCAGGATTAAGCGAACGAAGCCTGATGAGGAAGGAGGTTCAGAATCAATACAACTATCAGTGACCGACAAGTAAACCGCACGCGTAGCACCAATGTGCGCTAGAAGATTGAATGAGCGACTAGGAGGGTCAGATTCTTAACATGGTTTGAAATCAATTCAACTCTCTGTTTACATGTTGGATAATTAAGGAACTAAAGAAAAAAAAGGCAAGTCTACAACTTCCAAATGGAACAAAGCCACAATGGAATGGGAGTCACGGCGAGAATTAGAGAGGTGCACAACCTCTAGGCAGTCTACCATCATTACCACATGATGAAAGTCTCGGATCTTGGAAAATCTACCACCATCATGCAAACCCCATCAGACTATCCATAGTGGGGAGTAACTTAGACTAGTTACATGCTTTTGTTAATAGTCCATGTTACTACTTCCTCTTATCCATCCCCCTCTCCCTCGCGCCGTCTCCTCCTGAGACTTCCCGGGGGGCCACTAGTGCCGGCGGGTCCGGTCTCCCGCTCCTCCCTTGCTGCCGCTACCGCCGGCCCCTACCGCGGTGGCGGCGGGCCCCTTCCTCTAAGGGGAGGGGGACATCCGGCCGTAGCGAAGGGCGAGGTGAAGCCTGGGTCCCGGGGCAGCGGCCTCGGTCTTCGTGGCAATGACGGTTGCTACGGCCGCTTGGGTGGCGTGGTGGTCGGGCCTGGGCGCGGTGCTACTGCGCGCCAGCTGCTCGCGGTGGAGGAAGCTCGGCCCCCTTGCTGCCCGATGTTTTCCTCTTCAGCGTGGCAACTCCGGCGACGTCGTGGCCTCATAGCGTCGCTCGACAGTTCTTCTCCCGCTGGGCTAGGAGGGATGGCGTCCCCCTGGTCCTGCTTGTGCGAGCTCGTCCCCGTGTGGGATCTTGTCGATGGAGTGCCAGCTCGCTAGATCTGACCGGCTTTGGCCGGTTCTGGTTATCTGCGTCGGTGGAGATTCTGCCACAGTTGGGAGCTCCGTTCTCCGGCGTGGGGGTGCTCGTGTAGCGGTGGTGGGTGCCAGATGTTGGATCTGGCTCGTCTATTTTGGCAGATGAATGGCGAGGGCGAATGTGGCTCTGGCGCGGTGGTGGCGTGTTTGCTGCGTCAGAGGTGTGCGGGCCAATGGAGTGTTGTGTGGGAGTGTTGGTCATGCTGCTCCAGGCAAAAGCCTCACGAACGCTTGTCGGCCAGTTGCGACGGCGCCCGTGGGCATCACTATCCTTCTTGGAGCCGCCGTCAAGGAGTTTTGCGCTTCCACTGCTCTCGGGTCAAGATTTGTGGGCGAAAGTCATGATCATGTGAAGGATCGAGCGGTGGCGTCGTCTTCAACCTGGGCGGTGGGCTCCTACTTCTATGACAAAAAATCATGACATAAAATGGGCTTTTCGTCCTGGGCGGGCCGAAGACGCAGCTGCATGACATTCTTTGGGCTGTCCATGACAGAAAAAACGTAGTAGAAGCGAGGGCGAGGAAAATTTCGGCGAGTTCCCGGTTATGGTGGGTGGCGGGGGCCGAGCGATGCGTGTTTCTCTTGTACACGTACACGCGTGTGTGCGAGGCGTTGGGCTGTAACTGAACCCGAGCGAGGCGTTGGGCTCTAACTGAACCCGAGCGATTGGACTGCAGGCTACGCATTACTGAACCCGAGCGATCTATCGATGGGTGTTAACTGAACCCGATCGAGCGATTCCTTTGCTACTGCTGCTAACTGAAGGCGATTGATGCTGCCTTTGGATGAACAGTGAGCGTTACGGAGGGGGTGGGGGTGGGGTTGGATGAACAGTGAGTGGTGGGGGTGGATGAACAGGACCCCGTGGTGTTGCCTCTGGATGAACAGAACCCCGATCGATCGAGCCAGTTGGGGCTGGATGAACAGGACCCCGTGGAGGGCTGGATGAACAGGACGACCCCGTGGAGGGCTGGATGAATAGTAGACGTGGAGGGGTGGATGAATAGTAGTCCGTGGAGGGGTGGTTGAACAGGAGCCCGTGGAGAGGGGTGGTTGAACAGTAGCGGGTGGAGTAGCGCGCGGTGGAGGTTGGATGAACAGGAGCCCGTGGAGGAACAATCGCAGGTGGAGGCTGGAGGAGGTCAACGGTGGATGAATATTAGCTCGTGGAGGCTGGAGGAGGTCGACGGTGGAGATGAACAATATCCCATGGAGTCCCGTTTTGCGGTACGCCACACCCCTCCCGATGAACAGGACCCCCGTTTTGACTGTAGCGCTCCAACACAAGTCCGTTTCCTCCGTTTTGCGGTACGCCACACCCCTCCCGATCAACAGGACCCTATTTCGACCGTAGGAGCTCCAACATAAGTCCGTTTCCTCTACTTTGTAGTACGCCAGACCCCTCCTGATGAACAGGATCCCATTTTGAACGTGGCTGGTCGAACACAAGGTCGTTTCTC